ACAAAAATATGTTCATGTAGAATTTAATGATGAAAAATTATAAAATGTAGTTATGATGATAGGAAGAAGAAATGGTAGAAAAAGGGGCAAGATGTGAGGGGAGATCTGTATTAAATAAAAATCTCAGGGCGTGTTAGTGTAATTTATCCTAATTTTTTTCTATTCAAAATGTTAACAGCACATGATGGGGGGATCGCATTGCAACAAAATTAAAAGTATAACGACCAAATTGTTCAAATTAAAACTACTGAGACTAAACTGACACTTCGCTTAAATTACAAGAACAAATGATTAAATAATTTCTCCAAAAAATTATTTATGAAAAAGTAATCAATTTTTAATGACTCATGTTTTACTAATTTTAAATTAACTTAATACATGCACTTTCAAGATAAATTTTCATAATTGATGACATTTTTTATATACAAGGTATGGGAAGGCTAACGTGATTGACTTAAAAAATATCATGTGTAATGAAATTGTGCTATGAATTTTATTTTAAAAATGAGGTATATAATGTAAATTTAAAATTGATGAGATATTTGTCACACTAAAAATAATTGTGATTCATAAATATACTTTATATTGTTGGATTGACTTGGCTTATTCAATAATATTTATATATATAGTTTTGAATTAATTATATTTTTTATCTTTAAAATGAAAATCTTGTGTCATTTTAATTCACATTAGTAGGGTATCCACTCCACGTTTATTTGCATGTGATATGCAATTGTCGGCTTTATCTATGAGACAAAAGTAATTGTTTTTTTAATCAGCAAAATAAAAGACACTTTATTGATGATAACATACCAAAAATATATCATGGTATACATCAACAAAGAGGAGAGGCAAGAGATTGATGAGAAACCAACCGAAAAGGGGACAAGCAAAACCAAGTCAGCACACCACCAAACCAGAGCAAAAAATAGACCAGTGCAAAACAAACCAGTGCAAAAAACCAGCTCCTCCATCTCAGCAAAAAACACACCACTGCAAAACAAACCAGTGCAAATCACAAACCAGTGCAAACTAACACCTCCGCTGCATCACTCACAAAACAAACCAGTGCAAAACCAGCTCGAAGACAGCAGCATGCACTGATCACAAATATGCATAGCAGGTGTGCGTGTCAATTTCCGACCACACTACCAAACATGTACTCAGCTAGAGAACACCGACAAAATAGATTGCCCGAATGACCTATCACAGAAAGAAGAGATTCCGGCGGTGGTTCGTCCACCCGGGGGCACTCCGACGATCAAGTCAGTTATCTCTCAAAGATAGCAAAAATGCTTAACTCACTATTCAGAATATCAAAAAACGTACCTTTGACCCACGAGGGTCCCTCTCTTTTATAGCCAACACTAACCTAATCCCAATAAAAGCCTAGCTTCAATGGACTCTGGATTACTGCTAATCTTGGACTCCTGGTAGGATTGGGATAAACTCTCTAAGAGTCTTATTTTTATCCAAACTGAAGTCCTCTTTCAATCTAGGACTTCCGGTATCTTCGGAGATAACCTCGGCCTAGCCGAGATCATCTCGACGTCATGACCAGGACACGTGGCACCTCGGCTGACACTTCGGCGTCACATTGGCCACATGTTGGCACTCAAAAAATATGTTCCCACAACTGCCCCCTAGGTTCTATTACCTCGGCATCCTGAGGTGATGGAACCTATATCATTTTTTCCATTTGGCACATCGGCTAAACTCGCTTTATCCTTCATTATCGAGGTTATCATTCGTATCGGCTCCATAAGACCAAGACCTGTAATATGTTTTCACCAAGACTCTAGAACCAATAACCAAGTTTGTTCAAGTTATTCAACCGAGATTGTCCTACTTGCCGAGGTCTTTGCTCCATAAAATCAAGAACTCCAAGAGTTTCTTCACGCGTACGAGCTGTCACGCATAGTATTTCAACCATTTTTGCGACGCGTCTTTCCCCCACTGGACCGTACCTGACACGCGCCTTTAAGTCACATCGCACTTGTGTGCACTGTCTGACAAGCACGTCGTCTTAGGCAACGACATGGCGGTAAAATGGAAATTAGTGTGCCTAGGATGACGTGCTTGTCAGACGGCGCACGCAAGTGCGATGCGACTTAAAGGTGCGTGTCAGGTACGGTCCAGTGGGGGAAAGACGTGTCGCAAAAATGGTTGAAATACTGTGCGTGACAACTCGTACGCGTGAAGAAACTCTTGTAGTTCTTGATTTTATGGAGCAAAAACCTTGGCAAGTAGGACGATCTCGGCTGAATAACTTAAACAAACTTGGTTATTGGTTCTAGAGTCTTGGTGAAAACATATTACAGGTCTTGGTCATATGGAGCCGACGAATGATGACCTCGGTAATGAAGGATAAAGCGAGTTTAGCCGATGTGCTAAATGGAAGAAATGATATAGGTTCCATCACCTCAGGATGCCAAGGTAATAGAACCTAAGGGGCAGTTGTGGGGTCATATTTTTTGAGTGCCAACACATGGCTAAGGTGACGCCGAAGTGTCAGTCGAGGTGCCATGTGTCCTGATCATGACGTCGAGGTGATCTCGGCTAGGTTGAGGTTATCTCCGAAGATACCAGAATCCGGGATAAGCGGATAAGGGACAAGAGTCCTAGATTGAAAGAGCATTTCAGTTTGGGTAAAAATAAGACTCTTAGAGAGTTTATCTTAATCCTACTGGGAGTCCAAGATTAGCAATAATCCAAAGTCCATTGAAGCTAGACTTCTATTGGGCTTAGGTCAGTGTTGGCTTTAAAAGAGAGGCACCCTCGTGGGTCAAAGGTACGTTTTTTGATATTCTGAATAGTGAGTTAAGCACTTTTGCTATCTTTAAGCACCCACCGCCGGAATCTCTTCTTTCTGTGACAGGTCGTTCGAGCAATCTATTCTGCCGGTGTTCTCCAACTGAGTACCTGTTTGGCAGTGTGGTCAAAATTTGACACACACAGCAGGTGAACACAAAACACAGACAGATACTCTTATGGAAGTGCATCTTTATGCAGCCCAGGATACCCAAAGGACTAAAAATTATGAAGTGTAACTTTATGCAACCAAGAATAACCAAACAACATTCCAACCTCACACAATAGTAGCAAGGAACTAGATTAACTCATGCAGCAACTCTGAAGCAGAAGAAAACATGACTCATAACAGTAGCAGCCAACAAAGAGCTTGAAATAGGCATACACCAGCCACAACCAACAAAACAGAACTAAAGGTGGAAACAGAACAAACAGAACAAATATAACAACTCCATAGCAGTTCACAGCAGCTGTTCAATCTCACACAGCAGCAGTAGCTCATAACTGAGTAACTCATACACCAACTTTGTAACAAATAAAACAAGACACATAGCAGTCCATAGTTGAAAAGAATAGAGCAACAACAAAAAAGTAAGATTAACAAAATCTGAGACAGAGCAGCAGTAACTCCTCTAAAGGGCTCTACCAGATACACTACAAGCAGCTTCTAACTTCACGAATATTAGACACAAACTCATTCACTGTATACGCTTGCCCAATTGAGTGAGATTTCAGCCAAAGAGCCACTCTAACTTTAATAAGCTAACTGAGATCTTCACATGTATGCTGCTGTCTATTGAACAGATAATTATTCATGCATTTCCAGAGGGACCATAAGGCAGCAATCAGAATTGATCTCCAAACTTGCTTTTCCTTTTTTCTAACCTTCTAGCCCAGTCACCAGTGCATTAACATGACTACTAAACTAGGAGAGACCTAAAGCAAATCCCACCACTTCATTAGGTTGGACCAAACTTTCCAAGCAAAAGGGCACAACAACAGCACATGGTTAAGTGATTCAACCTCAGCTTGCCAGAACACACAGTCAAAGTTAACTACTGCATTAAGGATGCCAATTCTATGTAAGTAGTCAGATGACTTTATCCTCCCTTTCCAAGCCAACCAAGAGAAAAATTGAGCTTTAGGAGGAGAGGGATTATGCCAAATCAAATCAGTAACTGCCAAAGGAGGTTCATTCAATGATTCACACCATTTCACAGCACTGTTGACAGTAAACTTACCTGAGGGATCAGATTTCCACCAGAATATATCTATAGATTCCAATCTCAAGGAAGGGCCCTCCCCTAAGACAACCTTTAATCTCTGCAGATCAGTCTCCTCCCATGCCAATAAGGGTCTTCTGAAGCTAAGATCCCAATTGTTTTGATGACTAGCCCTAGTCAACTACAAGTGCAAGGTGATGCCTCTATCCTCTGATAGATAGTAAAGTCTAGGAAATTGGGACTTCAAGCACCTGGTTCCCATCCAATTATCAACCCAGAAACTAATTCTTTCACCATTACCAATCTTGATTTCAACATTCTTCAAATAATAATTGAACAAGCTGCTATTAGAATCACTAACAAGAATAATGTCACTCCAAACTCTTGAGATATTGTTTGCCTCCACTGAAAATGGGAACGATCTACCTCGTTCTGACTGATATTTGCTGCAGATGACTTGTTTCTATAATAAGTTGTCTTCCTTCCCAAACCTCCACCATCATTTAGCAAGGATGCTATTATTCAATATTCTTAAGTCTCTTATGCCCAGCCCATCTTGCTTCTTATCCATGGTTAGATCCTACCATTTTACTAAATGTAATTTCCTTCTCACCTCTGAATCACCCCACAAAAAGGCTGCTTGTATCTTGTGCAGCTCTTTTGCTACAACTCTGGGCAACCTAAAGAGAGACATATAGTAACCAGGTAGTGAAGAAAGGACATATTTTATTAATGTTACTCTTCTAGCAAAAGACAACAACCTTCTCTTCCAACTTGACAGTTTCTTCTTAAAATTGTCCACCATAGGTTTCTATGTTGCCCTCCTAGATGGGTTGGCTCCTAATGGCAATCCAAGATACTTCAGTGGGATCTTCTAATATGCACAGTTTAGCCTAGGAGCAAAATTTTTTACACACTCATCAGATAACCCTACTCCACACACACCACTCTTGTGGAAGTTGATCTTCAACCCAGATCCTCAAAGCATCGAAGTATTCTCTTCACAGTTAGCACTTCAGACCACTCAGCTTCACAGAAGATAATTGTGTTATCCGCGAATTGGAGATGCGAGATGTTTATGGCATTTGACCCAATGATTACACCTTTGATCAAACCCAGCCCTTTTGCTCTTGCAAGAAGTAGGTTTAAGCCCTCAGCCAGCACATTAAATAATAAAGGTGATAGGGGATCACTTTGCTTAAGCCCTTTTTGAGGGAAAAATTCAAGAGTGGGTGAACCATTGACCAACATAGAGATTTTTGCTAAGGAAAGACAGGAACAAATCCAATTCACCCACTTAGCACTAAACCCAAAATTTGATAGCATTTGGAAAAGATAGTTCCAATTGACTGTATCATATACTTTTTGGAAATCCAACTTTAGTGCCAGGCCCTTTCTTCTTGATTTTTTCCACCAATCCACCACCTTATTGGCTATCAATATACCACCCAGTATATTCCTACCCCCTAGAAATGCAGCTTGAGCATTACCTATGACATATGGAAGTACTTTTTTCAATCTATTCGCAAGCACCTTGGAAAGAACTTTTTAAGTGGAGTTAATAAGACTGATAGGCCTGTAGTCTTGAATACCAATAGGATCGTCTTTTTTAGGGACCAAGGTAATAAATGAGCTATTTAAACCCCCAACCAAACTGCTGTTAGCAAAAAATTCCTTTACAAAAGTGATGATATCAGTTTTCATAAATTTCCACCCTTTTTGATAGCAAGTCGTGTAAAACCCATTCGACCCCGGTGCCTTATTCCCATCACAGCCTGCCACCGCCGCCCAAATTTCATGTTTAGAAAATTCCACATCCAAACAATAAAAATGCTGGCTTTGTGCAATGACGTTAAACGGGCCCAAAAGCTTGGGTCTATACTTCCAGTACTCGGAGAAACTTAACCTGAAGTGATCATACACAACTTGTTTGACCTCAGCAGGTTCCTTCACTAATTCCCCATTTACTGACATGGAATCAATTGCATTGGCGTTTTGCCTTTTAGTAGCTATGATGTGAAATTTTTTTCTATTTTATCTCCCTTAAAAGTCCAGTTCAGCCTTGACTTCTGTAGCTAGATTCTTTCTATCATCTTTCTAAGTTTCCACACTTCACCACTTACCTCTCTTCTCCTTCTACCTTTAACCTCATCCAGGTCTCTACTCTCAGCAATTAGATCTATGGCATGTAGATTCTCTTCAGCTTGCCTCAGTTTAGACTCCATATTCCCAAACACTTCGGAATTTCACTGCTTTAAAGCTTGTTTAAGTGCCTTCAATTTAATTTTTCAGTTTGTACCCTGCCCAGCCTTCCACCTGAGTACCTATCCACACTTGCTTCACTACATTGAGAAAAGAGGGATGAGATGTCCAAGCATTGATGAATCCAAAAGGCTTTGGGCCCCAATTTCTGACATCCTGCATTGGGATAATTGGATAGTGATCTGAAATGGATCTAGGGAAACCCCAAAGTTTATATCTGAACCATTCCAACCATTCTGGCTCAATAAGGAACCTATCTAGCCTGCTCCGTCTCTCACCTTCCATTGAGTTACACCACGTAAATTTTCTACCCAACATAGGTAAGTCAATCAGTTCAAGGCTACTTATGAAATTACAAAAATCTTCCATTTCCCTATCCCTTCGTACACAACCATTTCTTTCATCTATTGATTTGATTTCATTAAAATCCCCCCCGATGCACAACAATTTGGGGAAAAGCAACCTTAAGATTGAGCAAAAAGACCCATAACCTTCTCCTATCAAGCACATCATTAGGTGCATACACATTCACAATCACATAGTCCAAGCTATTAAACAAGGTACCTGATAGTATCATGAAACTCTTGTTACAGCAACAGTCAACCAGAGAGAAGACTTCAAGCTTCCACACACATAACAGGCTGCCAAAACTCCCATCAACATCCACATGCATGGAGTCAACAAGGTCATGGAGCCAGATAGACATCACAAACTGATCTGAACTATTTGCCTTTTTTTGTTTCTTCCAGCAGGACCATATCAATTTTCCTTTCTTCGATAACTTTTTTGAGTCTTCTTCTCTTCTCAAGCCTACCAAGCACTCTAATATTCCAAGAAAGAATCTTCATAAGCACTTACTATTCACTCTTGAGCCGCCAGTGATATTGAGACTAAATCCTAGCACCATCACTCCTACCAGTAACCTGCTCCATGTCAGTCTCCTCCAATTCAATTAATTTCTTTCAAAACTTCATCATCTTTGCCTTCAAAATCAATGCCCAGATTTTTCCCAAGTCGAATGGTGTCTTGAGCCTCCTTTAGTAGCATATCCTGTTTACTGGATCTACTGTTATAAGACAGGAAAGAGGAAATTGCAACTGCAGCTGCTCTAAAGATGGCCCCCCTTTGAAATCCCCTTTTCATCACAATCTTCCTCTGGTTTTCCTTTGCTCTCCTTGCCTCCTAGTATCTTACTAGGTTCATTATCTGGCTTGCGTTAACTATCTCCACCATTACTAATCTCAGCCATACCTTGTCCAGCTTCCATCAGGACTGGAGAATTTAATGTATGCAAGTTCTCATCAAATCTACTACAACTAGGACCCAGCCCAATTGATTTAGAATTGCCCCTGTTTAGGTCAACAATCCACCAAAATGCGCTTGATCAAAGACTACTTCTAAATTAATGCTAGGCTTTGTAGGTCCATTTCCACTTAAGCTTTTCATAAGCCCATCAGAACCTATTCCACCTTCAAATCTCCCACTAAATGTGGGTAATCTCGGCCCATTCTTCTTGATTGCTTCCAACAGTCCACCTTGGCCCATATTGTCCCCAACATTTTGACTTGTACTAGTAACACACTCAGCTGAGGTATTAGGCACGCTGCCCTTGAGCCTCGTGCACTGACCCTCCTCTACTCTAGGTCCCATACTGCTGCATGTCTCGTTTACTACAGATACAACAAATAGACTATTGTCTGCACCCTTAGACTCTGCCACCAATTTGTCATTTCCATTTGCAGCATGTAATACATCATTTTCCACTACAAGAAAAAACACATTTGGCGACTAAATTTTTAGTCGCCAAAAGTTAATTTTTAGCCGCCAAAAGTCAGTTTTTAAGTTTCCCCGACTAAATTTTTTAGTCTCCGGTTTGGTCGCTGGAAAACGATCGGGAAAGGTATTGGCGACAAAAAAAACTTTTAGTCGCCAAAAAGAAAGTCTTTACCAACCAAAACTTTGGTCGCCAATAGTCAATTATATTTTTTTAAATTATACATTTGGCGACTAAATTTTTAGTCGCCAATAGTCAATTATATTTTTTAAAATTATACATTTACCGACTAATGGTTTAGTCGCCGATACTCAAGGAATCGGCGACCAAACAGATTTAGTCGCCAAAAGCTCATTCTGAAAAAAATAAAATAAAATTACACCCTACTCTTGTGGAGATTTGAACCATCAACCTTATACAACACACTTCTTCCACTACGCTTCCATAAAATCATATGATTATATATGCAACATATATTATTTATATAGTACTTAGACTCGTATTAATATCAAAGTATATATATAAACATAATTATTTTTTATTGAACATAATTTATGTAAAAATAAATTATTTAGTAGAAAAAAAGGACACCACTTTTGGCGACAAAACATAATTTTAGTCGCAAATTCTACACTTTTGGCTACTAATTATTTTTTAGTCATTAAAAAAAATGTCTCGCGCTAAAATTATCACTTTTGGCTACTAAACTTCTTTTTAGTCGCCAAAAAGCCTCACTTTCGGCTACTAAACATGTTTTTAGTCGCCGAATGCTTCACTTTTGGCTACTAATTTTTTTTCAGTCGCCAAAGGGCCTTACTTTTGGCTACTAAATTTTTTTTAGTCGGTAAAAGCCTCACTTTTGGCGACCAAACATATTTTTAGTTGCTGAATGCCTCACTTTTGGCTACTAAATTTTTTTTAGTTGCCAAAAGGCCTTGCTTTTGGCTACTAAAATTTTTTTAGTCGCTAAAAGCCATATTTCGGCGACCAAACAGATTTTTAGCCACCAAAACCTATGCTTTTGGCTACTAAATTTTTTTAGTCGCCAAAAATCTTTACTTTTGGCTACTAATGCAGTTTTAGTCGCCAAATGCTATACTTTCAGCGACGAAATGTGACTTTTTAGTCGCCAATAGTGCTTTTTCTTGTAGTGTTCATAGGCTACCTGATCCCCTTGATGCATTACGTCATGTACATCTTCCACCATTCCTCTGCAACAGTTTGAAGTTTGATCACCGCCGGTGATACCATTAACAGAAACATCCCTCTCCTTGTTGCTATGGCCTCGGACAAAAGCCAAGTTAGGATGAAACTCTTCACTCACTCTTATAGAGTGTATTTGACCTCTATATTCAAGGTTTACTACACTATTGATCATCTCCATATTGGATGTAAGGATCCTGATTTTACCACATGCCAAGGATTACATCTTAAGGGTGCTCTCGTTGATGTTCATGACCTTACCCCAGATCTCCCCAATCTTGATGAAGTTAGCCAAGTTCTAGAGATCAGGTGACATACCATAACAGTTCAGGCCCATGTATCTTTCTTGCTCAATCTGTAGACCCTGCCTCCATTCCACCATCGATTCACACCATTCGTGAATCCAATCCTTAAGATCCTTCATTCCTCTGTTTCTGACCTCTGGAGAAGAAAACACTAAGTAGGCAACTCTCCCACCACCATCCTTCATTTGCACACTAGACATACCTCTGCTATGCAGTTCCTTTTTAAGATCAAAACATTGGTATTGTGACCACAGTTTTACTATCACACTACCATACAACCATCCATTTCCATACTCCGCAGCCTTCACTGAGATAGCTGTCCCACTTTTTGTTTTACCCCCCGTCACAACTTCTGCATAAGACATCCCTTTTGTGCTAGGTGCCTCCACTCTTATCCACCTTTTTCCTATTTCCGCAGGTGGTAGATGATGATGATCAGCCTTTGGCTTGACATTGCTTATATTCTTTGTAAAATCAGTGCGCTTAACCTTCAATACCCTGTCATCACACCATGTATCATGGGCTTTTCGGATTGCCATTTCAGCTGCTACCAGACAGTCATACCGCACAAAACCAAATCTAGTTCCTGTTGAAAGCCGCCTCTTGCTGGGTATGAAAACATCTACGACTACCCCAAAATTCATGAACATATCATACAGCGCTTTTGGATGCATTGAGTCTGGTAAATTATTGACAAAAACATTGTGGACTTCACCCCTTGAGTTTGATCTGCTACCAATATGTCTCCTCCCGAAGACTGGTCTCCATCCTCCCAACTTTACCCCACGCTGCTCCATCTCTCCCTTTGGTCCATAAATGGGAAACATTTTGGTCCACACCTTTTCAAGGTGTGTACCTTACGCATTTTATTACATATTTTTATAATAAATATTATATATTTTTTTAAGTAAGAGTTATGATAATTTGTGTTGAAAAATAAAATCATATAATTTTGTGGTAATGCTACATATTTCGTTGTATTATTATACAGTTTGTAGTTAAAAAATGTTAGAATAAAAAATATATAATATTATTACAAAAATACCTAACGCTGTCACAAAATGAATAATTTCATTTTTTAAATTATAAATTGTCATAATTGTTATAAAAGAAAATATATGTAATATTTATCATAAAAATATAAACACACACTATAAAAATATGTAACAAGCCATAGCATTTCCCATCATAAATAAATGATAATTGGCCATTGGATTTGAAAGTGAAATAAATCTAACCATTGGTTACTAATTATTAAAACCGAGTTATGAAGATAGATGATTTTTGTGAAACAGAGGTAGTATTCAATAGTTTTTGAAATCACCAGTGAAAGGACCGTGTGGAAAGCATTCTAATGACTACCCAATAAAGTTATATACGAATGAAGCAACTTATGTGTTATATGGTTTAGTAGGAAAATTATAAAATAATTTTAGAATATTCTTTAGTGAATTATCATTCATTATATCTGTTCAAATTTCTCAATTACCTAATATAAATAATTAATATTTTACTTGCTTCACCAATCATATTCTCATGGAATACCACGTGATCGTACTCTCGAACTACCAAATAATCACCTAATTTAGTAAATAATACTCACAAGATGCATTTTTTCCCTTTTTTTTTTCTCACAGGTTAATGTTAAATTAAATACTCAATAGAAAAATTAAAAATGATA